CAGACGGACCATTGTCAAGGTACCCCGTAGTGGCCTTCCCATCTTCGAAAACGATGGCGGAAAATTTCCAAACAGGCATTATTTGTAGAAATGTACCTAAATCTAAACGGTTACTTTCTCGCATGAAAACGCATTAAAACTTAAGAAAGTGGCAAACTGTATCAACAACTTTCATTTAAAATATTAAAAATGTTCTCTCTGAAGAAAAAATGTTTTCCATCAATAGTAAAACTATAAATACAGCACAGAAAAAGTCCTGCAATCAAATGTTTACTTGAGGCAAAGAGTGAAAGAGAGAGAGATTATCAGCACAATACTTCAATTTACTTAAGTGTTCTCTGTTCAAGGCGGAGCTTTAAATTCTTTTGAAGCTGGATAGTTTCGTGATTAATAATGCATTATAATTTGTTTGTTATACTTTGTGAGTCAAATCCGAATCTGCAACATAACTAGTAACATCTCTCTGTCAGGTACATTAGAACAGGGTTTTCCTCTGAAGTAGAAGTATGTCACAATATTGCACAGTGAAAGTCCTGCATTAAAATGTATAATTCAAGTGAAGACTGAAAGAGAGGCAGTATCAACACAATGAACTCAAATGTACTGAATGACTGCTGGGTAGTGAAATAAATAACAATCCATCAACATTTTAATTATATTCTTTGAGTAAAATCTGAATCTGCAATGTAACCAGTCAGAAGAAGAAGTACACAGTAAATAGTATACAGTTGAGTAGCATATTTTTAAAGTGCTTTTGGGGCCTTTTGTAATTTATTTCGGGGTGCAATGAGTTAGTTATGCTTTTCATATCAAACATCATAAATCTATAGCTGATTGGGAAGTTGCCTGCTGTGCCTACGATGGTAAAGCCTGCCCCTGGTGTTGTTTCCTGTGAATCAGACTGCAGGCTTATTTCACTGTTGTTTCTGACCTTGAGTGGCTGCAGCATCGAGTGTGAAGTTGTTTGTATGAGCGGTTGTTGAGAAAGCTGCGAGCAGCAAACGGCACAGGCCAAGCGTTCGGCCCGTTCTCAACAGGCATGTTTTGTTTGGGCACTGCACTAGTAATTAAAGTACCTAACAATATATCTATGATAAACATTTATGTCATTTTTGATTTTTCTGCATTTGGTATTCTTACTTTTAAAACCTTTTCCTTATTATACTTACATACGTGATCATACTGAAGTAACATTTTCAATGGACTTATACCTGTAGTGTATTTTTACAGTGTGGGAAGGATCTGAATTCTTCATTTACTACTCGCTTTTTGCAGGATAATAAACAGTAAATATTCACATTAGCATATAAGATATGAAAGATATTTCAAACATTGCAATAGATAATAAAACTATTTCAACAACATTAAATGTTTCTGTATATCTGTGTACACAGTGTATGTGTGTGTGTTAGGGAGGGCGAGGAAACCTTATTGTTTGATTGTTAGCTCAGAGCTAAACAGATGCGTAAATACAGATAGGGGCTCCCAGTCACATCAGATTAGACCAAACAACAAAAATCAAACTGTCTGTCTCACTCGATCTCCCACACACAGACACACACATGCTCTCACAGACTGTAGGGGGAACTGGGAAAACAAACAGACTTCAGCAAAGCAATGCGCCTCAATAATATGTCCAACTTTTATTAACCGCAACAGGAAAACACTCCTCTGCGCTGTAACTATCATGTAAATGTACTCAGACATTGTAGGTTTTTGTGTGCTACAGGAGCATACCGACACACACTGTGGAGTAAATACATTGATGACCTCACATGCCTCATAAACCCTAATGTTACCACTCCAATATCTCCATAGGCCCCAGGCAGAAACGGAGAGATGGAAGGGAGAGGGAGAGGAGAGAGAGAGAGGAGCACGCGGGTGAGCTGTGATGATGAATTGATTGATGAATGAAATGAAGATGAATGCATGTGGCAAATGCAGATAACGAGGCAAATATGAAGAGTACAGCGGCTGGTTCACCTTTTACCCGTAGCTGAAAATATGAATGGCTGATGTGTATCTGGCCTATTAATACCACAGCAGCGACAGTGAACGCACCACTGAACCAGATATGGATCCCTTATCACAAATCGTATGGCCCAGAAACAGCGGCCACCAGTCTTTCTATACCATCTGGAGCCTAATCGCTGAGCTGGGGGTGTGCAGATCAGCCTAATCACCCTACATCCCAACCTTTATTGCCATATGGACGGAGTCCTAAAACTGACCATAGATCAGTGTACGAGTAGCAGCAGTTTATGTTCTTAATTGTTGGTTGTTTGTTCGTGCAGCATCATGCCATCACAAAACATCCAGGGTGTAAACAGAGCAGCTTTTTGTGTAGCCTATGTGCGTCTCTGCAACTGTTTTAATAATTGATTAATCGTTTTCAAGCACAGATTCAAAACATTCTCTCATTTTCAAATCTTTTCTCTGTCTTACATCATTATACTGTAAACTGAATATCTTTGGGTTTTGAACTGTTGGTCGGACAAAACTAGCGGGACGTCTTTTGGGGCTTTTGGGAATTTTGATGGACATATTTCACTATTTCCACCTTTGTTGATGGTTTCTTGAGAAAATAATCAGTTGATTAATCTATAAAGAAAGTGTTAGTTGCTGCCCTATCTGTGCAACTACATGTGAAACCTCAGGCTGTTCTCATACAGTGTTTGTAGCTACACCTATGAAAATGAATGCGCTGTAATTCGTAGATATCCCAAGAAATTAATTTGTATATAATCCACGTAATCATGAACGAGGAAGTATAAAGACCGCAAAAACCAACACAAGGCGGATGGGAGTTGATTCATTTTTCACATAACTTGCTGTAATTAAGTAACGTCACTTCCGTAGTTATTTTAACCCAAACCACAATCTTTTCCCAAGTCTTACTTGTTGTTGCCTGTGAAGACGGAAGTTTATTTTGGAAAGACGTAATGCGAGTAACGAGTGGAAATTGACACGTGTAGCTGGCATTTCGTAGGAAATCTTTTTGTAACTTTTTCGTAAGATTCCAACCGTTGTGTGAGGATACATTGGAGAAAAGTTAGGACTGAGTGTACGTGTGTGTAACTTTTCTCAATTCCACCTGTAGAATCCCCATTTAATAGTAGATTAAAGGGTCTGTTCACTAAGATTTCCTTCTTTAAACACATGTTTTCTAGTTCAGCTCTACTAATATTAAGCCATACAGGTAGTTTTTCTGCCTATAGGTTTTTGAAGTATCCCTCTCTGAGATTACTGCCTCCCTGCAAGAGCTTTTCTTGGAATGACTTTCTACCAAGGAAACATAAAAACTTTTGACAGCTTGTTCTGTGGATTATCCAGAGTAATGAGGACACCAATTTTGGAAAGAGATGTTGGTGGAAACTTATCTTATTTTTTTTTTTTATTGTGTCAGAACCACAAACACAATTCCATTCAGCTCTTTTGTGGAGTGGAGGAAGATGATATCTCAAAACCTGTGCAAATAAAACCCAAACTATCTGCAACGGCTGGAAATATGTTTAGTTTTTTTTACGTTTTGGATGAATTGAACTGGGTAAAGGATGTAGAAATCTAAAATGTCCAAACAAAATGTATATAAAAATGTACACACACACACACACAGTGACCTATCTAGAGGCAAAACTTAATAATGATTCTAACTGCAGCTTGTGTATTGCTGGGAGTCGGTCCCATATTGATGATTGTTCAATTAGATTGAGCTGAGGAGTGAGTCCATCATTTACCAAACATCCAGGGGCAAAAGATACAACAGTGAGACCTTTGCCCTGCTTGTCCTAAAGCAGTATACATTTAAGCTCTCGGCCTATCCATCTCCGTTTGTGTTTATACCGTATATTTTACTGTGTGTTTCTCTGCACGTGATCATGAAAGACAACCAAAGGTCTGACGAAAAGGTTGAACCCCAAAAACCAGAATATTTACTGAGTCGCCTCATGAACAGTCTGCTGGTGATCTGAGGTGAACTATTGCTCAATTGATTAGTGATGATTCCAGATTTCTCACAGAGGAAATGACGGATGACTGAGTGGAGGATAACAACACATCCCAAATTGAGTGAACCGTCTGCATCTCCCAGAGATTCACCTTTGGATAAAAGAGAACTATAAACTAAATGTAATCTAGCACAGCCTACTTTAGCATTTCTCTTGAACAAATAAAAAAGTTACTGAATTATAAATATCTTATTACAGCTCTGAAGCCAAAACACGAGGAGTTCACTAACTGAGCTGCAGTGTTGTAATACAACATGTTCCCCCCACTTTCTGCAAGCTGCTCACACATGCTCACTGACATGCTATAGTTTCTTAGTCGCGTGCACACACACACACACACACACACACACACACGCACACGCACGAACTGGCACGCACGCTCTCCATGCAAAGACGCACCGGGCAGGGTGACACTCACATGTGGATCCACAGATGCTGGTGTTGCGCCTCCGTTTTGCTTGGAGAAGCAGAAAGAGGTGATAGGAGGCAGGAGAAAAAGGCAGGACGGCGAGAGAGGGATGCAGGGAGGGAGCCAGAGATGGATGGATGGATGGATGGAGGGGAGGGAGGGAAATGCGGAGCGACGCAAGGGAGGGAGGTGGGGGGGGGGGGGGCAATGAGAGGGCTGAGTGGTTCTAGTAAATATTTATATTGCAGTATGATACGCGCGAGAGTGAAAGAGAGCGAGAGGGGGACCGGTAGAGAGGGGGAGATATAGAGCGTCCATCCCTTTATTAATTTTATTCCGGACCGCTAAGTTTAGCATTCAACACGTGTCGCCAGTGATGGGGGGGGGGGGGTGTGTGTGTGAGAGAGAGAGAGAGAGAGAGGAGAGAGGGAGGGAGAGAGGTAAAGAGAGAGACCGGAGAAATTGAATACATGTAGAACATATATATATATATATATATATATATATATATTTAGATATATATATATTTTCCCAGCGTGAGTGTCTGTGTGTGTGCGTGTGTGGTGGCGGTGGTGGTGGGGGGGGGGACACCCGCAAAACGGATACCTCAAAAAGGAAGGATGTGAAAAAGGATGGAGGGACGCAGGAAAAGAGGGGGGAAAGGCTGGTGAAAAACAGTAAGTACATTTATTTTCAATGCTATTTGCAGTGCGGAGGCATTTTTTTTTTTCTTTCCTCCGCTTCACGCCGCGCACACACGTACACAGACTCTGTGCTGCTTAGATTAATTGCGGCTCGGGCAGTGAGAGGGTGCTGTACGCGTCATTGAGACAGGAATAGGGGGCTCGGGTGTCGGCATCTGTGCGGCCGCTTGTGATGGAGAGATGGATGCTCGGGGATGGAGAGGTGGAAACGGCCGGCGCACCGGAGCTTTGACCCCTCTGTCATTGCTGCGCCTAAAAAACTCACAAGCCTCTCAGCCCCTTAACGCATATGTTCCTCACAGCAGCCGGCATACGTGTTCCGACGATACACACGCTCGCAGATTACCGGTAGTTCAATTCATCATATAGACTCAACCTTTAGGCTATGATTTTGTCTGCCAGGAATTGTCCTTGCATTAGTAATAAAGACAGAGTTTGGGTTTCGCTTAAGTCTTTATACACCGGCGCTGGCTGCAGTTTCCCCCCTCACTCTGCTGCGGATGTATTAATTGAGGTGATCATATCTGTTGATGCTCATTTTCTCAGGCTGCGTGGTCAATGTTAGTGCGCGAGTGCTGTGTGTGTGTGTGTGTGTGTGCGCGTGAGTGCGTCTGCTTGCTCGTCCTATATCCACCGCTAAACCCGCAAGATTGCCGATCAGTTTTTCCTCTTGATCTATTTATATCCCGATACGGTGAATATTTGGGCGTATGGCAGCACACTGTTATCCCTCTGTTGCCACCGAGGAATCTTCCCCAACAGGCTGACTTGTCTCAAACACTCTCAGGCATCTGGAACAGCCCCCCCCCCCCAGCTTCTGGGTGTAAGAGTGTGTGAGAGATTTCACTTTGTAGGTAGATTTCACAATTTGCAACCCCCTGTGGGTGCCCAAATAACTTTTTTTTTTGGCCATGCAGTACTTAAATATAGAGAAGACGTGAATAACAGGTGGAAACACAAACCACCAGCACCAGCACCATAAAAGAAAGGCCTTGGACCACCAAGGGTCCAAGATCTTCCCGTTGAACTGTGAAAATGGAGAAGCACAGTGTTGCTTCTCTTACAGATTTGCTGCAGTGATTGTGAGTGCAAGATCAAATGTATTGGCCTGCTCTGTGAGGCCACTGGATGCATTAATCCAGATGGAAATTGGAATTAATGTGTTGTTTGTTTTTCCATTTCTGTGGGCTGTTTTGGTGTCTCTCTCCTCTCTCAGCGGAATTCTCCCGCTGATATCCATTTCAATCAACTCGTTCACCCACAGGTGACGTGCTCCGTTCAGTTTGTCATTTTCCCTCGCAAGCGCTGCGAAATGTACACACAGGCGTACTGCAGCAGTGTGCTGCATGCGCTGCTGCCCGTAAAGTGTTGCCTTCAGTGTCGGCAGAGCCCCCTTCTCTGCCGATCTGTCATACAGTTGCCCAGAGAGATCCGTACTGTACCAGCTGTGAGTAGGGGGTAGACAGGAGGGGAGGGGTGGGAAGAGGAGAGGTGATGAGAGAGAGAGAGAGAGAGAGAGAGAAGGTGTGGAGGGAGGGAGAGATGAGAGAAGGTGTGAGGAGGAAGAGGAGGTGGAGAGAAGGCATGAGGGGAGAACCGGGTGAGAGATTGGAAAAAGCAGCAGAACGAAGGGGAGAGTAAGAGAGGGCCGGTTGGATTAGAATAGAGATGAGAGGGATAGAGTCAACATTTGTGTGCTTCTTTTCTCCAACCCCCTGCTCTTCATCAATTTCACCTCATTGATTCATTGACTTTTGCACTGAAACCTACAAGCTTAGCTCAATCCCCCCCCCTCGCCTCTCTCTCTTTTCTTCTACCAATCCCCCTGTTTCTTCATGCCTCAATCCTTTCCGTCTCTTCTCTCACCCCTTTGCAACCTGTGACTTCCTCTGCACAGTTTCCTTTTCCCTTTCCCCCTCTCTTTCTCCCGCCTCCCCTTTCATCATTTGTTTGATGCAACATTAGTGGATAGTTTCCTCAATCCTGCCGCCCGACCAAACCGCTCTCCCACCCTCTCCACACGTTGCACCCAGTGTTCTTTTTAATACCACTAATTAAGGTAAAGCTCGTTAACATAGAACATCAATTAGTGTTTAACGAGATCAGAGGCTGGTGTTTTGGAGCGATTACAGTACTCCCCTCTCCCGGTGTTCCTCTCTGGACTCTACCCCGCGTTGTGTTGCTGAACGTGTTGCATATTCAGAGACACACATTTCAGACATGTGGTGGCAGTGGGATGTCATGTGAAGTGCCAATAAACCCAGTAACCCAATAAAATCTCTGACAAGTGTCCGTTAAATAAATAAATCCATATAATTTCAGGAAAGAATGCCCTCCATTGAAATCAGCGGGGGTCCCAATTTATCAGATTGACTCTTCTCTAGAATTAAATACTTGTCTAAATTGCACACTATAGTCTTATTTAACGCAGGAACTGACTTTGTCGTTGAGTAATTCAGGCTGTTGAACACTACATGATATTAAAACTAAATACTTTATCAATCAATACAATACTATTTCACACATTAACAGTTTGAGATGAATGTTAAACAGTTGACATGCTGCCTGTTTTAAAGACTGTAGAATTCAGTTCTCTAAAAGTGTAACAAATCAGAAGGCTAAAGGTCGCTTGAGTGACAAAGCCAGTAATGCTTGATTGCCCATGTCGACCTTTTGAAGACATATGGGGTCAATTAGTTGAATGATTGATTGCTTGAACGACAGGGAAAAAATAATAAGATACTATTTTGATATTCGATAAATCGTTTCAGACTCTGTTCAATCAAAAACTGTGAAAAATGCCAAAGATTCTCCGGATCCGGATTCTCCGATGTGCTCTGTTTTCACTGCTGATTATCTCTGAGACGTCACCTTGGACTCTGGGAAGATGTGACGGCATGTGTTTCATTTCAATGACTAAACGATAAATTACCTGCAGATTAATTGATAATAAAAAAGGTGTCAGTTTCAGCAGTATATATATATATATATATATATATAGAGAGAGAGAGAGAGAGAGTTAGTAAGTAGAGAAGACTCATGAACTCCTTTATTTACTGTGCTGCATAGATTTCAATGTCACGTTGAAATCATGCAAAATGCAGAGAGTAATAATGTTGAATTCAGCATTGGTTGTATTGAATCGCTTTAATACATTATGATGTGAACACTATCTCCTCGTCAACATGAGCAAACAACTTTCATGGTAACATTAGTGAAGGAGGTACAGCGAATCTCTGCTGATAGCTTCTGTCACAGCTGCCAAGCGATCAGTGACATCTCAAAGTACCCACCGCTAATTAGATGTAATAGTAACACTATGATGTATTTCATTATGACATGTCGCAGGGAAAAACAAAAGTGATCTAGTACCATGTTGGGAAACTGGGCATCCTTTGTGAAGCTTAGTTCACCACAAGAGAGTCATGGGTCCCTCAGACGGAGAGAAGAGCTACATAGATAGCTCAGATACTGAATGACAGAAGTAAACAATAGTTTAGTAGGTGTGATTAAAATGCAGTTTTTTTTAGAATGAAGAATGCTACAGTATCGCAATAATCAATATGAAAACCAAATTGTTATGCTGTAGAAACAACTTTAATATCATCTGAACTCCACATCTGAGGGTTTCTTTTCAGTAAGGTGGCCTTTAGCAACCCAGAGGTGCTGCCGCCCCTCTGGCTTAGTCCGGACCGTTAACACATACTGTAAATGGAATGACAGGAAGTCATTTACCAAACAGGTGGAGTTGGAAACAGACAGACATATGAACAGGCTGGCAGAGAGACACAGCAGTCACATAGACAGGTTCGAACGCACACACACACACACACACACACACACACACACACACAACAGTGAGGGAGAATTTAGTGTGCACTTCTTGCACACAGTCGGTATCAAACAGGTACACACACATACACACACACACACACACACACACACACACACACACACACACACACACACACACATAAACCTGAGCCAAAGCCCTGCAGCTTGTTTTGGGAATACAAGTCTTGAGGCTGCATTCAGGCACACAGCTTCACATGGCTGCATGCAATACACAGTCACACACACACTCTCAAAAAGTACATTCAGGCAGATACCCATGGGAATGCAGTTAGACACACGCACGCACACACACACACACAAGCAAAGCAACAAGAGCATCCAAAAATACGCACTCATTGAATATCATATTGCACACAAATACACTCGCACCACTCACAGTTTTGGATGAGAGAGGACCTTGGGACCTTGCCCATGGGATCCACACACCTAAAGACACTGCAATGTATATATATATATATATATATATATATTATATATGTATATATATACACACACACACACTCACACTCACATTGAGTGCACGTCACATAGACACATACACACACACACAGAACAGAGGAAAGGAGGATGAAGAGAAACAATGACAGCGGATGGAGAGATGTGCAGGAATGTTTTGCGACATGCAGCGCTTTGCAGCAGTGTGGTGCGGTCCTTCATGATGATGGATGGGGCAGGAAATGACAGCATAAGTGGTTATTAAAAAGAGGAAATGGGGGCATTTATAAAAACTATGTTAGCCTGTGTCTGCAGCCCATGTCGCATGTCAACCTGGGCTGCTGTGTCATGCCTCCTGATCTGTGAGACTTCCCTACGGTGCATGAGGGCCAGCTTTCTTAAAAAACCTTTGTCATTCTCTTCTCAAAGAACCCAGGCACTGGCATTTATAGCAGGCTTTGCACTGGAGTGACTGCGCCGGATTTACCAGGTGCAGGTACCACGTGCAAAGTTGAACCCGTTTTATTGCCTTATCACTTCATATAAGAATAGCTTGGCTCTATTTTCTTTCAAGTTTAAACTTGGAATTCCTTCATAAACAGGTGCCGACTATACAGCTGTTACAAATGCAAATATGTGCGTTTGCACCTGAATGGAATTTGCACAGCGTGTTATCTTCAGTA